ATCCAAGCTGTGATCAAACGGACAAAAATAATTTTGCTACCGTGAACGGTCTGAGCATCAGCTAAACTAATAATATATATTAAAATATATAAATATATATAATATATAATAATATATATAATGTAATATATATATATATATATATATATATATATATATATATATATATATATATATATATGTATAGATATAGATGAAGCTCTTCAGTGGTCTGATTCAACATCCAAAACTGCGATAAGGTATGAAATATATATAGATATAGATACTTTTAGCACTAGCCCACAGAAAAGTTCATTTGCTGAATAGATACTTTCTGCACTAGCCGAACTAAGCAACAGATCAATGTAAAAGGCAGTGTTCAATGCTTATAACCTAAAGCTCTGAATTATCAAAACTTCCTTATCTTTGAATAATCACATTTTTCAGTGGTGGAGCTTGGCACTGACCGGTTGCATCAGTAATCAGTTGTATATCGTAGGACATTTATTTATTATTGGGCATCATATTATATATTCTACCGTATTCCAAACAACAAGTGGTCACTGTGCAATTCTCAAATGATGCACTTCTACAGAAACCATCATTTTGTAATTATCAATCTCTACTTAATACAATACCACTCATGGTACTGTGATCTATAAACTAACCCTCATAAGGTAATATCGCTGAAATATAAAACAAAGATATAGTTCATCCACGACGACAAGCAGGCTTGACGCGCCAGTTTTTCTAGTAGCAAAACGATGCAGTTCATTGAGATGTAACGTGGCAAGTAATAAGCCAGACACGTGTCGCATAGGAAGCTCATAAACGGTTAGGTTTTTACAAGCATATTATTCTCCGCATATATGTGCTCCTTCTATTTTAAACTATAAAATAAAATGCTCTGGTTTTTTAATATATTACTTTTACTATATTTTTACTACGTATAAAACGTTTGGTTTGTTAGATACATTAATTTTACTATTATTTAGATTATGTATTTGGATATAGTATAAATCAAAATCTATGTATCCTAAAAAGCCAAAAAATCCCATAATTGGAAATGAGGAAGTACATATAACATATTACTTAACTATTTAAACTTGTCTCTGATCCAATTATGTTCTATCTCCATACCATTTTCGATGTCCCAAAAATTTCGCATTGCGTACTATTCGTACCAATCAGAATCCACTACACATTGTCCCATCTGATCCAATATGTTTCATCCCTAAATGCTTGTGGTTGATCATCGGCTAATCATAGGTTTCATTCTGATTGACTCACTATTCCTACATACTCATCCTCAAATAGCAGGAGAAATTGCAGGTGTGTCTGATGCCTTATGGCGATCTTGGCAAGTGCGGAACGACGTCACACATGAATCACGCAGCTTTTCCATCAATGGGTACGTTCGCTTTCTGAGAAGCTATTGGACGGAACTATGTAATATCAGCCAAAATAGAGACATGGCCGATCCGGCGATCCGTTTGGCAAGCGAAAATTCTACTATGTGACGGGTCGTGCGATTGGAGACCGTGCGACCCGTCGCCCTCCTCATGCTCGCCTCCTCCCCCCCGAGCTCCTCCTCCTCCCGCTGAGCTCCTCCCTCCCCTACCCTCCCGCGTTTGCGACCGCACCCGCGCTGGAGACGAAGAAGACGACGCCGGCGGCTAGGGTTCCAGCGACCTCGCCGGAGACGAAGAAGACGACGAGCTCACGCCTCGCCAGTCTCTCCCCCTCTCCTTCCCAACTCCGACAGGTAGAAGGGCTCGGCCGGGGGGAGAGGCAGGACGGCCAGGCGGTGGGAAAGGAGGCCAGGCGGCTTAGGGGCCCTGGCGACGATGGTGGCGCCATGGCCAAAGGGGAGGGGAAGAAGGCAGCTGCCGCGGGCGCTAGGGTTCTCCGGAGCTCCTGCGAACCCTAGCGCCCGCGGCAGCGGGGGCGAGGATGACGAGGAGGGCAGGGTTGGGAGGTGGGCAACGCAGCCGCTGGCTGAGAACGTGGGCTGAGGAAGGCAGAGATGGAAGCGTGAACGCTAGGTAGTAGAGATGAACAGGGTCGCGCGCTACCCGAGTGCGCGACGGGTCGCGCTTTAACCTCCCCCTTTGGCAAGCAACCAATGTATAGCTCTCTATATGCCAGACGGCAGGCCAAAAGAGGGAGACAACCGTGCCCTTGGAAGCAGAATGGCGAAAGGTAAATGTTTATGGTGGTTTTTGCAGGTCGACGGGTGCTAGAGGCATAGAGGTGGTCATCAGGGACCATAATGTGGTGGTATGCCTAGCTGCTTGGAGAGACGTAGTGGAAGCCATGGATGCTGAAGAACTGAAGAAGTCAAGGTGCTGGGCTCTGATATGCTACCGAAAACCCTGAGATTCTGGTGATGCTTGAAGCTGACTGCAGTTCGGTCCAAGCTCTGTTGAAGAATTTGGCGAGGGATCGAGGGCCGCTATGCCTAATAGCGAAGGAAGTGAGAAGGCAGGAACCCTGAAGTGAAATGTAGTCCACACGAGAAGAGAGAGAAATTATGCTGCACATGAGGTCGCGCAACGGGCGCTAAGGTCCAACAGTTCGGCTGTTTAGCACAATGTTATTCAAGTTTGTATTGAACAAATTATTGCTCAAGATTATAATAACTAGATTTATTTTTTCGCGAGATTGTAACTAGATTGTTGAGCAATAAAAAGCCTCTCTTTTCTTGTGAAAAAATAGCTAGAGAAATTGCATACACCGATAAGTCATAATAGTTGCCATAACATGCCGTTTGCAAAAAGCATACGGATGACTTGTGTATCATCCTTAGCAACATGTGGTGCTACCCATATTTGGCTGTGCAGGAGTCTTCGGTGTTTCGCAAGACTCGTGTCTTTTCGGTCAAACTCGCTCCTCGTGGGAGCATCATTTCTCTGATCCTACGGCGAAGGACAACACGAGATCCTACACCCAACATCCACGCAGAGAATCCCACTGCCGAGTGCCGCACACGCCCCAAAAGCTTGCCGACGCCGAGCGAGTAGCCCAGCACTGGCACTGCAGTGGAGTGGCAAAGCAAAAGCACTCTCACCCAACCGAATATCCCACAAGATCAAATTCACCCAATTCGTCACTTTCTCTCCTGTACGTAAAAGCGAAAAACCCTGATTTTTAAACCCCAAAAGCAAAATCCGCAGGTGTCCAGAGGCCTAAATTTAGCAGCAGCAGCTCCGCCTCCGCCACGGAGGCTGTCGGATCGGAGGGGAGGGAGTAGGGGGAGGACGGGACAGAAATAGGCGGACGGCTGGAGAGAGATTGGCGGAGGAGTCCAGGAGGGGCGCGCACGAGCCAAGGCGGGAGGCGGAGGAGGCGAGGAGCGGAGGCCGGGGTTAAATGAGACAGGACTTGAGAGGGAGGAGGAGGGAGCGGAGCGCGCGGCAGGTCGTCCAGAGATGGGAGGAGCTCCCCGTCGTCCCCGCCTTCTACTCCTCTCGGCTCGTCGTCTTCCCTGAGGTGACCGTCTCCGTCCGACCCTGTTCTTGTCAGCTGTCACCCCACCCAGTGGGGGTGATTTCGTGCATCTTGCGCCGCAAAGTTGGGGCCTTTTCTTTAGGAGGAGAAGCCATTAGAAGCAAGCTTGGTTTGTCTAGATTTGGTATTCGTTAGATTTCTCCACCTTTTTGTATTTCCCCTGAGTCCCTGACGCGTGCAGTAATGCTTACTTAGCTTTCCGATCGTTCAGCTCAAGAGAAGAATGAGAAATCCGTTCAGTTGGGAGATATCCATTCACCAATATGCGTTCCATAATGCGGCAGATTGGTGAAGACAAATGCCCTGTTTCATTTTAATGATGATTTGATTCGGGCAGCAGAGAATTGCCTGCTTGCTTGTCCTGCTGGAATGGAAATGCATTTTTCGTAGTGGTCCATTGATCTTTCACCAATCTCGCTAGTTTGATTACTGATTGCCCTTTATGTTTATGCTGTTGGAACTTGGGATAACTCAGAAGTAAGAACATAATTAAATAGCTAGGTCATGGTTCATGTCAGGGATTTTTGTGGTTCTCTGATAAACTTTGCTGGCTCTACTGCATGCTGTTCTTTTGGATTCTTTATTAATGGAATGTTTGGTAGAACGGTAGTGGACCATTTGTCTTAGTGTATATCATTATATCAATCCATTCGCCAATATGCTTTCCATAATGCGGCAGATTGGTGAAGACAAATGCCCTGTTTCGATTTAATGATGATTTTATTCAGGCAGCAGAGAATTGCCTGCTTGCTTGTCCTGCTGGAATGGAAATGTGTATTTAGTAGTGGTCCACTGATCTTTCGCCAATGTACAAGTACAGCCCATCTTGCTAGGCCTGATTGCTGATTTCTTTTTATGTTTGTTTATGTTGGAACTTGGGATAACTCAGATATAAGAACACAGTTAAATGGCTAAGTCATGGTTTATGACAGGGATTTTTGTGGTTCTCTGATAAACATGCTGTTCCTTTGGATCCTTGATTATTGGAACGATTGGTAGAACGTTAGTGGACCATTTGTCTTAGTGCATAATATTGCTCAATTTTACCATAATATTGTGATTTTTAGTTATGAATACTAACTACATATGTAAAAGCATTGAAAAATTGTTGAGACATACACTTATGTATATATTTATCACACTTATGAGGTGTCATCATGTTTTGTTATTTTAATTAAAGTTGCTGGTTCCGCCACTGAGTGTATATCAATCCATGTCTCCGTGTCGTACTCTCTTTTAGATGTTTAAAGAACATGTCAGTTGTATTGCAAATTTACAAGTGGGCATGAACCTGTCTGTAACTCATGCCATTATTCCTGTATATGAGTTCAGTTCTTGTGTCACTACTGTTTTTTTTCTTCTTATTTTCTGTCTTCTCTTGCAAAATGCAGATTACATTCAGATTTGGATTTTTGCCACACCCCCGGCAAGATAGAGTATCTGGAGCACTCTCGAATGCTAATCAGACACCTTGCCCATTTCTTCCTCTGTCTTAGACACAAGGCCTTCTCATGGCCAGAGACTTGCCTCATCCGCCCGTAACTAGACGGAAAATTCTGCGTTTCAAGTTCCTGATACCATTTGTTCTGGTTCTTTCCGTGTCTGTTATTGCTGTCACCCAGTACTTCCAAAGTATCTCCTACCTTCTAAGGCCACTGTGGGACACAGCACCTAAACCATTCACCCGCATCCCACACTACTATGCCCCCAATATCTCCATGGCCCAGCTGTGCCAACTCCATGGCTGGGGCATCCTCCCCGCCCCTCGCCGTGTCTTTGACGCCGTCCTCTTCAGCAATGAGCTTGATATTCTGGAAATCCGGTACCGTGAGCTCCTTCCATATGTTGACAGGTTTGTCCTCCTTGAGGCCAATTCCACCTTCACTGGTATCCCCAAGTCACTCTCCTTTTTTGAAAACTTCAGCCGTTTTGGATTTGCTGGATCAAAGATTGTCTACGACATGCTTTCTATTGGAGAGCTAGATACTGGTCCTCGTCGGCAACCGTTCCATGTTGAGGCCTATCACCGCCGTTCACTTAATATGCTGATACGAAGATCAGGTATTGCTGCCGGTGATATCCTGATCATGGCTGATGCTGATGAGATCCCTACCCCTGAGACTGTGCAGCTGCTCAAGTGGTGTGATGGAATACCACCAGTCGTGCACCTTGAGATGAAGAACTACATGTACTCCTTTGAATTTCCTGTGGATGACAACAGCTGGAGAGCGACGGCACATGTGTACAATGAGCGCACATCATATCGCCACTCCCGTCAGAGCAACTTAATCCTGGCTGATGCGGGCTGGCACTGCAGCTTCTGCTTCAGGAACATCAAGGAGTTTGTTTTCAAGATGAAGGCATACAGCCATGCAGACCGAGTGAAACAGAAAAGCTTCCTAAACCCAGACAGAATCCAGAAGATCATATGTAATGGGGACGACCTGTTTGACATGCTACCTGAAGAGTATACATTCACTGACCTCTTCAAGAAGATGGGGCCGATACCCAAGTCAGCATCTGCCGTGCATCTGCCTTCCCATTTGATCAAGAACGCAGACAAGTTCAAGTTCTTGCTTCCTGGTGGGTGCTTGAGATCAGAGTAGATCAGAGATTAGCTTTTGTTTTGTTAGCCAACAGTATTTCTTTTAGCTGCAATACTGTTGTTCATGGGGGAAATGTTTCTTTTTTGTTTGATATGAAATAGTATTACTTTTAGATAGGGTGCTAGGAGCTGTTTTGGTGTGGACTTGAGGAGCTAAGGGAGTTCTCATGTTGTATCTGTAGCGGTGGGCTTATCAGCCCCTGAATTACAGCAAGTAACATACATGTAAAATGGCTATAGTAAATTGGTACCTTTTGGGTTCATCATGATCTTTCTTTTCCAACAACTCAAGTGGAGGTTGTTGGTTGTCTGTTGTCACTGTTTGAACTTCATTTCTGGCATCGAGGAAATGCCTTAGAAGAACTTCAGTTCTGGCATCGAGTTTCAGGCTTTCAGTTTTAGGGCCGCCAACACTGGCTAGTAGTCTCAACTACAAGAAAGATCCACGTAGATCAAGCAGCAGCAGAGTATGAAATGCCACAACGCAAGCACATACTACAGTAATTGGCTGTGTGGGGGACCCACGCAGGCTGCTTTATCGCATGCACGGCAACTTTCAACTGCGCACGTCAGAGTTCTTTTTGAGCCACAACCGCACAACGCGCTTAGGGACGGTGGCCCTAACCTTTTGTCAGATCAAGCACTAGGATCTTCTGCAGGCGCTTCTGACATGCTGCGGAGCACACACTCGATCTGATCTGGAGGCTGCAAGCAAACGTGGACGCCGAGGCATACATCCAGAGTGGAGCGTTGGGCACGGCCTAGTGTCTCAAGAATTGATGCAATGTGCAGAAAGCTGTGGTGATGTCGCGGCCGTTGACAATCTTTTTTCAGAAACTTCAAACTACAGTATTTATTTACAAAATGTTGACCTCTAGGACTAGGAGTAAGTATTTGCACAAATTTGGACCGCAATTAATAACTGCGACCCAGATATTTGCATACAGTCCCCTGTCTGGACCTCAATTTTGCCAAAGAACCCCTCCCATCCGGCTGCTCCCTGGCGGCCCGGGACCAGGCCCGGCCCCGGCCCATGAACATACGCTTTCACGAGCTCTTCTGTTCCAGGCGTACCCAAATCCGTTCGTACCCTACGAGTCTGTCTACTACTGCGGCCCGAACCCCAATCCGTTCGATTCCCTTCCTCCCTTCGCCGGCGGCGGGAGCGGAGGACGTCGGCCATGGCGTCTCGTGCTCTCTCGGTCCTCCCCTGCCTCGATGCCATGGAGCCGGAGAGGCCGCCGCCGGCACTCGTCAGCGATGTCCTCGAGGAGATCTTCCTGCGCGTGGCCTCCCCTGCGGACCTCGCGCGCGCCTCCGCCGCGTGCGTCTCCTTCCGCGGCCTCATCAGCAGCCCGTCTTTCCTCCGCCGATACCGCTCCGTCCACCCGCCGCTACTTCTCGGCTTCGTCAACCGCGATGGCTTCCACCCTGTCGAGGCGACCCATCCCTCTGCGGCTGTGGCCCGTGGTGTCGCCCGGACCGTCGACTTGTCCTTCCTTCCTCATGGTCCGCAAGGTTGGTGTGCGTATGATGTCCGCGATGGGCGTGTCCTCGTCGGACACAAGTGCCACTTCCGGCGCCTCCGCGAATGCTGGGACATCGCGGTGTGCGACCCCCTGTTCCAGCGATACCTGCTGCTGCCTCCCATGACCGACGACCTACTCGCCTCCGTCGGCCTCCATAACAAAGACATGCACAGATCCTGGGCCTCCTTGATCCCTTCTGGAGGCACGGAGGAGGGAACGTCGTCCAGCGTCATCTGCTGGATGTTTTCCAAGACAAGATTGGCGGTATTTATCTTCTCAACAAAAACAAGCTCTGCTCACTGGGCTGCCGTTAAATCTATCAGTTGGGCTGATCTAGGCTTGCCTGAAGAAGTTGACGACTGCCTGAATCATCCAGGCCAATGCGTCTATGGTTGCTTCTACTGGAAAATATACCGCAGAAACGAGTTGCTCAAGCTTGACATGGACACTATGGAGTTCTCCAAGTATGACCTCCCTCCTGGTCATCACCAGAGAAGTATCGTCATTGTGGAGTCAGTGGAAGGCAAGGTTGCGATGTTTAGTACACTTGGTAAAGAGTCTGTGGAATATTACACCTTTGTGCAAAATGGCGCTGACAAGTCCTATAAGTGGCATTTGAAGAGTACCATCCCATTGCCTGTCCATGGTCCTAGTCACTTTTCTATTGCTGGTCAAGCTGAAGGATATGTTTTCCTAAGAAACATTATAGAAGAACAGGATAAAACATATTTAGAGTATTTCTCTCTCGAGGTTAAGTCTTGCAATATTGCGAGAGCCTGTAGGACAAGTGGTAGAATTATTTCCTGGCCGTATTTTGGTTTCCCACCATCTATGTCACCAAGGAGGCTTCAAGGAAATGGAGAGGTACAGTAAGTCTTGAGACTTTTGTGCTTCAGAGACCTTCAAAAGTATTATCGTGTGACTGTGATGCTGGAATAGCTTTATGTTTGTACAGCAATGATTGTGGGTTCATCCAAGTCTTAGATGGTCATCACATAGTGCACTTGCTATTGGACAATTTGCTTACATTAGAGACTTGCAGTCAGTTCATATTTGCATGATTTTCTTGTGCTAGTATTCTTTGTTGTAGCAAAGGGAAAGCCCATTCATGATCTGCTTGCTGTTTTGTACAGTTGTTGCCATGTGGGGGAGCCTTGTACTCTGAAAACCATTTTCATGGAGCACATCCCACAGTAGTCAACAAATCATGAATGAAATAGAAAAGGACGAGCGCTAAGTTATCGACAAACTTTTGGACAATTGTTTCAAATTTAGAAGGGCTTCTTGTATCCCAGTAAAGGGCGTACCCAGTGCAGAGAGCTCCCGCTCTGTGCGGGGTCTGGGGAAGGGTGTCAGTGGCAAGCCTTACCCTCACTTGTGCAATGCGAGGAGACCTCGACTCGAACCCGGGACCTTCCGGTCACAAACGGTAAGACTACCGCTTGCACCAGGCCCGCCCTTCGCTTCTTGTATCCCAGTGAGGCTGTAATATTGTTGACATGTGTTTAGTCTGCGTACTATTTATTGATTTCAGTTTTGATAATGTGGACCTTATATCTGTTCACTCCCTGCCTCCTGCCTAAGCAAATGCTCTAAACATTGACTAAAGCTTTTATCTGTTCACTTGGCATAGCTTTATGGAACTTCATGGTTTCTAGTGTTTGTACATGTGATTGTGACGGGCACACCTAGTTGCAGTTTAAAGTCACTAATTATATTTATGATTCCTTATAGCAACTGAGCTTAGTGGCGGTACCATATATTGTAGTGTTTCCCAAACAACATTGTCATTGTAAAAAAAGATGGTCTTTTGAATATGTTTGCTGTAAAATACGCGTTTATCAGCCTAAGCTCAGATACACAAACCTTTTGGTTGTTTTGGGTTTCTGCCTATTCTTCTGTTGGGACCGCAATCTCAGATGCCGTTCCTTGTTCAGTCTAGCTAGGGTTGGTCGCACAAGCCAATTTTTTTGGGAGCTACACTATGTCAACTTTGTCATATTGTTGTAACATAATGGAAACTTAAATTGATGATGTGTATCTGTGTGTTTTCTACATTAGTGCTTACTGCAATAAGATTGTCACCTCTCGGATAAAAAAAAAACATGTTAGTTTTATGCATCTTTTCCTTCTGAGCCATTGACATCGAGCTGTGAGCTGAACTGAACTGTGAATAGTCCACCCTTAAAATTACTATGCCTTGTCACTTTGGAAACCATCCAAGTAAATGTTTTGGAAGCATCTGCTTTCTGCAATGGTGGTTTCTATATTCTATAAGTTCTAACTGCATCTATTTGGTTGTAGGACTTTGCTTTTGGTGCTTCCTGCGAGAACTAATCATATTGATGCTTACAATGTGATTGCTGCCCACGTGCTGCAGAGTGCTTGGAGAAGAATGAGACTGTTGACTGTTGAAAGGTTGGGATATACCTAGACCTTTGTTTGGATAGGAGTGCTTGGAAAGAGGCTATTGACGTGCCTGAACCGTGACTAGGGGATCATGTTGGGTTTCAACTCTAGCCTACCTCAACTTGCTTGGGATTAAAAGGCTTTGTTGTTGTTGTTGTTGTTGTTGTAACATCTAGCATAATTATATGAAGCTTTATCTAGGTGGGTTCAAAACGATGACTAATTGACAGCTCCATTTATGTATATATTAATTTAAAGAGTAGGACTAATCACTTGGAGCTGCTGCCAACTGAAGACAACGAAATGGTTGGAAAACTGAACCACCCAACGAAATGGTTGGAAAACAGAACCTGCCGGACAATACAGCAGCTGACCACCTCAACACTGCTAGCATGTTGACCACCTCGCCTCCACCAGAATTCCGAGTTACTCCAGATCCTGTCTGCTCCACGGCGCCCTCTCACCTTGTGGTTCCTTTCTTGCTTGCGGACAGTAAACAGCATAGGAATTTCCTAGCTTGGTGGTGACCGGTGAGTAAGCATGTTTCCTCCTTTCCGAACAGCAGCATCAGTATTGTTTGCTGGCATTTGCTAATGGTGGTTTCATCTTCCTGTACGCAGACGCCTCAAACTCAGAGATTTTTCCCATCCGGTGGTACCATACCGTGCATAGGCGCGAGGATGGCGACTGCCATGGTCAGTGCAGTGTTTTTGGTGCTGGGCAAGGCGCTGGCTCCCTTCACAGACAACTTGCTCAAGGACTGGGCAGCAAGTGTCGCGCTTGGCAACAACGTCAGCATCCTTGAGCTAGAGCTGCTGTCTGTCCAGGCGCTGCTTGAGCCCACCCTCAGCAAATGCTTCAGGACCTTGGGTACGATGCCGAAGACGTGTTGGACTACTTCCGCATCCAGGACGATTTGGACGGTACCTTCGATGCTGCCGACAAGCATGCCAAGGGCTGCGCTCACAACCTGGCCCTTAATTTAAAAGCTGTTGGCAAACAGATTATTTGTTTGCCTGCATGCTTGCCTTCTACTACTTCTGGCGCCAAGGGCCCAAGGCTAATCGAGGGGTCAACGGATGGAAGGCAAAGCTCACTTCCAGATCTTGTTGCAGATGCTGATGGCCGGGAACAACGGGACAGAGCGTGTGAAATGCGATGCAGGCATGGGGGCGCGGGAGCTGCGTCCCGGATGGCTTGGGGCCGGACGTCTGGGCGCTGGCCCTTGCGAATTTAAAAGTCCCATCGCTATTGGATACGTATATACAGTAAGTACGTACAGATCATTGTTTGCGTTTCAGTTTCAGGTCGGAGTCGGACACGGTTACGTGAATTGAATGCAATGGATTCCGATCCGACTCCGACGATAGGCGTGAATCGAAATCCACCGCCTCGGCTTCTCTTCATCTCTTCTCCCGTTCCCGTCTATAAATTGATCGTCGGTCGCCACGCAAAAGCACACACATCCATCGATCGGTAGTTCGGCAGCATACCTAGTTACCTACACGTACTACACCATGGCGATCGTGGCGGCGCACTGCCTGTACGACGTGGAGGAGCAGATGCAGATCATGTCACTGACGAACGAGTACTTTGTTTCAAAAAAAAACTGACGAACGAGTACCTACTGGTGGAGAACGACGCCGACGCCGACGACGATGCAGGCCTGGAGGAGGACTTGAAGGCCTTACGGGCCAGGGTGGCGGCGCTGCAGGACGAGGACGACGTCCTCCCTCCCGAGTCGTGGGACTGGGCGGAGGGCGTGGAGGCCGTAGCCCAGTGGGCGGCGGAGAGAATGGCACAAGAACAAGAGGCCATCCAGCGTGCGCTGTCGGCCTGTCGTCGCAAAGGCCAGGCGAAGAGGCGGCAGCGCTGCGGGCAGAGGCCGCGCGCGTGGGCGCGCTCTGCGCGGACGCCGAGGAGGTGGCCACCGCCGCGCGCCACCTGATGGAGGCGGACCTGAGGAGGCTGGCGGCGGACGCGGAGACGGGCAACTACAGCTACATCCTGACGGAGGAGGAGATGGCCGCGGCCGCGCCAAGATGGAGATCGTTGCCGTGCACATGGAGAAGTGGATGGCCAGCCTCGCCGCCAGGCTCAACCGCGGCGCGGCGGAGTTCGCGGCCAGGCCTGGGGAGGAGGCGTTCGTGGCCGCCATGCGGATGGAGGCCGCCAAAGCCGACGATGCCCTATCGGCGCTCGCGTGGTACCGCGCCGGCGGCGGCTCGCTGCCTCATGCTGGAGGTGGAGCAGGCCAGGCTCTGCCCGCGCAAAGCTTATGATCCATCTCTCTATTAGCTATAGTTTTCATGATTAGCTTTGCTGTCACCAGAACCTCGTTTTTTTAAGAAATTGTGCTTCAAAGTTTAAGAAAAAACCACAACGGCCTCAAAAGGCCAGTCCTGGATTAATGGCAAACCTCCACAATGCTAGGTTGGCAACATTTGGCCTCACTGCAACACATTTGGCCTTATCTGGTGTTCAGAAAATTTCAAACAGTGTTCTATTTTTTTTAATCATAGTATGTACCCTTCGGTGACATTCCCCGTGACGAAGTTAAAACTCTATCGTCATAGAATGTGCATCACAAAAGTCAAAGGGCGCGGCTAGCGCCCGTACGTCCGGATGGACGCGCATGTTTGGACGCCCGTCCAGCCCGTCCCCGTCTGCCTTCGCTCTGACCCCGTCCGTCTTTGCCCCGCTGAAGGCTCTAGTTTGGTTTTGATGAATCGATAAAACCCTAAGTGCTAACCTAGTTTATCTAAGTGATTATGAGATAGGTGGCACATTCTAAGTGGTAAAGCAAATGGTGATGATCATAATGATGGTGTGGCCATGATGATGATCAAGTGCTTGGACTTAGAAAAGAAGAAAGAGAAAAACAAAAAGTTCAAGGCAAATGTGATATCCATATGAGCCTTTTGGTTTGGTGATCGAGACAGTTAGCGAGTGTGATTACATTTAGGATTGATAGCCGTACTATTAAGAGGGGTGAAACTCGTATCGAAATGCGGTTATCAAAGTGCCACTAGATGCTCTAACTCATTGTATATGCATTTAGATTATAGTGAGTGCTAACACCCCTAAAATTGCTTGTAAAAATATGCTAACATACGTGCACAAGGTAATACACTTGGTGGTTGGCATATTTGTTCAAGGGTGATGAAGTTTGGGGTCAAAAGGAGAAGTCTCATAGTGACCGGACTCTACCTTGGGCAGTGACCGGACTCTGACCCCGCGTCCGGTCAGTGGCGCGCTGTGAAGGCCACCTTCGGTCTCGTGACTGGACACTGAGAAGAAAGTGAGACCGGACGCGCAGGGGGTGCATCCAGTCACCTGTGACGTACGCTGACGCAAGCGTGGAGGCAAGAAAGGATCGAGCGGACACAGGGGCGCGTCCGGTCATGCTTGACCTGACGCGTCCGGTCGCGTTTTTGCCGCTCGGGAACCTTACTGGAAATGATTTGACTCTGCGTTGGCGCGAGTTAGGTCAGTGCTGTGGTGCGTCCGGTCGATGGCACGGGGACTCGGGCACACGCGCGACCTGACGCTGCTTCGGCGTGTCTGGTCACTCTGTGTTGCGTCCGGTTTCAACTTAACGGGAGAACGCGATAAACTCGACCGTTGGAATCAAGTGACCGAGGTCAAACACAGGGACACGTGGAGATCGATCCACGACTGGACGCTGGGGTGCCACACGTCCGGTTACTTTGACCGGCGTGTCCGGTCACCCCGATAACAGTGAGGTGCAGGGGGGCAACGGCTCTATTTCGTGTGAGCCTCTATTTAAGCCCTATGGCCGACTCTAGCTCACTCTCATGGTCATTTACATTAACATAGCAACCTTGTGAACTTAGCCAAAGCCCTCCCACTCATCTCCATCATTGATTCATCATCTTTGTGAGATTGGGAGAGAATCCAGGTGCATTGCTTGAGTGATTACATATAGAGGCACTTGGTGTTCGTGTTTCGCTGCGGGATTCGCTTGTTATTCTTGGTGGTTACCGCCACCTAGATGGCTTGGAGCAGCGAGGATCATCGAGCGAGGGATTGTGATTGTCGTCGGCTCCGATCGTGGTGATTGTGAGGGGTTCTTGACCTTTCCCCGGTGGAGAGCCAAAAGGTACTCTAGTAGATTGCTCGTGGCTTATGTGATTCTCATCTTGTGTTTGTT